AGGGGGGAGGGGGGGAGGAGGAGGGCGCAGCCAGAAAATGGCCATGAATTGTTGACGCGTTACGAATTGCATATTAAGTATTCAAGTGATCGCCGGGGTGTCCGCTGCGCTGCGGGCGGGACACGCACACGGCGCGCATCCAGTCGGCGGACATAGAGAGGCCTCGAAGACCGCGCCGGCAAGGCCTCGGAAGTACAGTGCCATCAATGCTTCCAACTTTTTAAATAGTTGACAAATGATCGGGGGTGCACTGGAAACGCGAGTGTGGTGAATGTCGGACACCTGCAGTTGCATGAATGCGCGTTCGTTCACTCAAGGGGAGAAAAGGTGCGAATTTTCCTTTGAAATTCACACACTTGCGCCTCCGTGTGTACGAATAGCGTTCACACACCTATAAGCGTGCGACATTAACGCGTGCGACAGTGTGTACAAAGAATACACGTGAGCCACACTTTTACAAATGTTGAAACGGCGTTTAATCGAGACAAAGAAGTGTTTTCAGTAGTAGCAGTGGCACTTCTTGCAGAGGCAGATGCCCCAGTTGTAGCCGCGACGTGTGCAGCTCTTCCAGCACTTGCGCAACTTGCAGCTGCAGCTGGGCGCGGGGCTGGGTGAGGACTCGTCCACCTCGACGTCCACCTCCATGTCCTCCTCCAGCACCATATCCTCGGCGCCCTGCTCGTCCCGGATGCTGCCGCCGTCCACGACGGGCAGCTCGACGCGCTGCTTCACCTGGAGGGTCTCCTCCTCCAGCTCGTCTACGATGACCTGGGTGCCGCTGCCGCCCGCACCGCTCATGGGCTGAAACACTGCGGGTCAGCCGAGGTCAGCGCGGCTAAGACCAGGGCCAGGACAGTACACAACACACTGCCGGATAAAAGAGGAGCGTTCTTTGACGCACCACCATGATGTGACTAACAGCGGCATCGACTGAAAACGTTATGTTGTTAGCAAAGAAAATTCCCCGGATTTTTCGTTTCATTTTTCATTGACATTTTTTCAATGTTAATTTTGTCTACTTTGTCAACCCGCGAGCCCCTGTTTTATTCTAACTGAATTTTCAGAGATACGAGGGATTTACAGTAATTAATTTTCCTTTCCCAGTACACACGGAATGCAATCCAAAATTGTGTGAATGTCGCCCTCTTGTAGGCGTCCGAATTTTCATTCGCACCCTTGAGCAATTAAAGCGAACCGAAGCGGACTGTAAATTTTCCCTGAAACGTCGTACACTTTGTACCCTCGAGTGTACGGGTGAAAAGGTACACACGGGTCTCTAGTAAGCGGAAAAAGGGGATTAGCATAGCGCTAAACTAATGGCTACATACAGGATAGCTAAATGCTTGGCCATCCCGTATTTAGCTATGTAGCTAAAATTTGCTTGCTACATATTTAAATAATTGACTGCGTTCGTAAAAATTTGGCTGTGTAGCTAAAATATGTCGCAAAAAAAATTGCCATGTATAGGTACACAGCTTAAATTCGAGCTGGGATGCTAATCTTTTAGCTACATAGCTCAATACATAGCGAACCCCCGTTGTGCGCGTACCGTAGGGCATGGCCAGGGTGGGCTGCAGGGCGCACAGCAGGACGCCCGCGCACGCCAGGAGCACCGCCGTCGACAGTCTCATCTCGGATAGGAGTAGTGTGTCTGGAAAGCAGCAGCAGGAGTCGAGATTGAGGGGTTTACTTCACTCGAACAAAACAGTGTACACTTTGCCACCCCCCCCCTCGGCCCAAAAAACAAACAAAAACACATTAAAAATCAGAAAAAATAAGCAAACAAAAATCAGTGAGAAAAATCAGAAAAATCACGAATTCATACATCACAGCTAGCTCGGTGAAGACGAGCCACTGTGATGCACTGCCATCGCCCCGGCCGCTCGCCATGACGAGCGAAAATGCCAGACCGACCGGCCCCTTTTTGCTTTTAAAATGAGCGACCCACTCTGTTGTTGCCGAACAAGAGCAACGACTGCGCCAGCGTCACAGATGATGCAAGCCGGAAAAGAAAACGCGACTTGAGCGCAATGGAAAGGATCATAATATGATGAACCCCACAAACTTGATAAACACAGCGTTCTTACTGGGAACTGAGAAAATTACTGCCAAAACCAATTGAACATAGGAAGGCCCCTACGCAAAGGTTACGAATAACGGGACTGTGGCAGCGTGCCTTTAGCTTTCTTAGACTTAGACTTCAAAGAAAACATTTCTCCTGAATAGTTAACCCAAGTGAGCGAATATCGCTTACTTGAGGGAGCACACTACGTACGAGGAAAAGTGCGACGTTCCCTTGAAATTTCGCACACCTGTGCCTACAAACATGCGAATGGACATTCGTCCGCTCACATAAGTGTGCGTCATTCGCATACTTGCGAGTTTTCTCTGCAAAAAAGCTCGATGACTTACCTAAGAGTAGGAGCGACCCGGCTGACGGTAGAAGTCGCACTGCACTGCCCCTGTCTGTCTGCCGAGACCCAGTCGGATAATCAATTTGATGCTAATGGTCTGGTGTGGACTCTGAGTGGGCGTGAGCGCGCGCTCGTGTGTAAGTGAGTAAGTGGGTAAGTGAGCGAGAGAGAGAGAGAGAGAGAGAGAGAGAGAGAGAGAGAGAGAGAGTGAGAGAGTGAGTGTGTGTGTGTGTGTGCAGGAGTGAGGCCAGGGAACACGCCAGTACGATCAATTCAGCCGATGCTTTATTGGCCAAATAAGGATATCATAATAGACAGCGTAAAAGGAAAAGGACACTTCTTATTGGCATAGTTTACAACAACGAAAATAAAATATAAATGAAGGAAATAGTTTAATAAAATGGCACTGAATTCTTACATTGTTGGTTTTTATGGTAAAATAAACATATTATATTATTGAAATTAAAAAGCTAATGACAAGCGCTTTATTTAACGGCCCCCCAATTTTCATGCGCGAGTATGATTTTTGGCACATAATTTACTCGGGGATCCCATCATTACGATTAACCATACGTACTTACTTTTTACACAAACGGACAATAGTTTTGTCTATGTACAATTAACAATACGACCTTAGTGCTGCTCGTGTAGGTCCTACCCGAGGGCCTACCCGACGGCCGCAAAGGAATCCCATCCCGCAGGGACCTCACTTTGCCAAACTTTGTCATCATTTTACATCACAGCTAGCTAGATTTACACCCCACGTGTATCACACGTGTGTATCACACTTGAGCGAGCTCAAATTAAAGAAACCAAAAGTAGAAAATAAATTTCAACAAAGATATTAGTTCACAGACACTAGTCTTTTATAATTTTGAAAATGCATACAGAATTGTGCTCAGCGGGGGAGAAAACAGTGATTCCAATGCGTAGACAATTTGTCGACCGGATTAAAGAATTTAGCTTTTGACACACTAAGTGTTCCTAAAAATAATCCAGGTTAAAAACGAAAATAAAACAACAAAAAAACAGTCAAAATTTCACTTTTTAACTCTGCGTAAGATGCGTATCACTAATTTGCAGTTCCTCTACGGGGAATATCGTCTACGAGGCACAATCACTTCAACAGTTCATTTGTGGGGAAGAAGCGGGTTGGAATTAAAGACTACTTATGACCAAGAGAAGAAGAGCAGCACACACACCTCACACTAAATGTAAACAGTCTTAATGGCTACACATTTTTAGATATGTGTGACGTCGGTATACAGTGCGAGGGAGCCCGTCACACCACTCCAGCGGGAGACAAGTTCATCACAACCTTTCCCTGCACGGCGACCAAAGGGAGGCAGGATACGACTAGAGCTGTGTATTCCGGTCGAGCCCTGACGGAGTGGTCGCAGCCATGTGTCCTTTCTAGGCACTGCGAGTGCCGGTCAAACTATTGGTCCAGCGAACGGCCGTACAGCCCGACCCTTCGATCGCGTGGTCGTGTGGTTGGAAACCATAGCGATCAATTATTCGGAAACCGCGGGCGGATCGGACCGGACACAAAACCACTGGTGGAGCGGTCAACGATCAGACGAACGGCAAAAACAGTCACATCCAACTGTTTTAAATTTCGCGAACCACGAGTGAAACGTCCAGATCACCAGTGGTCGTAACGGTTGCAAACCACACATGCTCAATCGGTCACAGTTACTGGTCACACTGGTCGCGTGGTCACAAACCACTGGCGCCACTGGTCGCAGCGACGGCGACAGCTCAGTTGAGGACGCCGACAAAAAGTGGCAGGCAGACCATTGCGACGGTGAATGTAGTCGTGGTCACTCCGGAGCCTGAAAAAAATTGAAGAAAGCATTACTAGATGCAGTGAAAATCACTTTTGGATGCGTGGCGCGCCGTATGAAAGCAGAATTAAGTAAATTAAAAGTATTTGTAAGAAATTTTCAAGTAAACAGGAAACTTAAGTGTGTGAATATTGCACATTCGCAGGAGTGTGAATTTCTACTGCATTAGGGAAAAGTGTGCAAAAGTCCACGAAAAATTCACCAATTACCAAACAAAGCGTGAGAATTGACATTCACACACCTACAAGTGTGCACCGTAAAATACTTGAAAACTAATTTCTTTGTAACATTTGCAAAGAAGTTTTCGATTTGAATAATAATCGTTTGAATAATTGCAACAATTTGTTCGAATTGCAAAGAAAAAGTTTTTTATTAGCTTTGTAAAGAACTTGATCGTACCGTATTCTTTCAGAATTCTTTGCAAAACGGACGTTTTCTTTTCAAGCATTTTACAGTGGGTGCGATACCCATACACTTGGGGTTCTCCTGTGTGCTATAGTGACAGACCGACGGCTGAGCATCCATTTCAACTTCTCTTATATACCAGGTGCTGTGCAAGTGATTTCCGGCAAAGTGATGTATATAACGTGTATAAATACTCATGACGCTCATGTAAGACACACAAAAACACAAAATGAACCGAAAGTAACAAAGCTTACACATGACACATATCGGATTAGCAAAATTAATAAACATGGAAGCGGCCGATAATAAAATAATAATAATAATAATTAAAAAATATACTAATGAAAATTAAACAACGTGCGGTGTGGGGGAAGGGTGACGGCGCCGCAGTATGACCGAATGATTAATAAGGCGTAATGCAGGGTTCCACCCTTACATGTGTGAGTGCGGTTGCACCTGCTGGCCCGCCCGGGGGCGGCGGGGGCGGTAGGGGCGGCGCGGGCGGCACGGCGGGACCGGTGTGAGAAATGGTTTCGTCGTGTCACGGCGCTGCCCCCCTCGCCCCCT